AGATGGGATTGTGGAGGAAATTGCAAGGGTGAAACATTTCAAGGAATTGGAACTAATAAAAAGTGCATGATTAGTATCCACCCAAGCTCAATTGAGTCTCAATTCGCTGCATATGTTCAACAATTGTTTTCCCACTTTCTTTAGAATCAAAAATTTCAGTGATAGCTTGTGCATTAGACCTAGATCAATAGCCAAACAAGGTAATGTGCTGGATTATGTCACTCTGGTGCATTCAATGGCTGTTTGGGAGGATTAAAGGCGCATTTCTAATAAGCCCTTAGTAATTCAATCTTCAGATGCATGGGCAGCAAAGTGCGACCCAAGTTCCAGAAGGTTTAGGTAATGGGAGTTTCCATTCATCTTATGGCCAGTGCTGATCAAGGCAACTTGAGAAGGAAATGATGCCGGTGATATTGTGTGGCAAAAAGGGATGACGTGGTTCGGAAACCCCCATATAGGCCCATAAAGAATTTGGGAATGTGGAGCGACATGGAGGCACAAGAGTATATTAGGGGGACATAAATGAATGGAAAGGGAATGAAGAGATAAATGAATGACTCAACAAACTTCGGTGGCCTTGTAGTCCTGAATGCTTATGTGAGCATTCGAAATTTTTCTCCTAATACACTTGATTGACTATGTTTCACCCTGGTATGACCGATGCCATGCCTTTCAATGGACTGCCAATGTCTCAATGGCCAAAAAGTACTGTGAAATACATGCCCCAACACATCAATGATTGAAGATCATCCCAATCCCTCTGGTCACTATAGGAAACCATATACTAATATATATGTGACGCTTTTTTGGTCTATTGCAGGGGCAACAATAATCAACGACACTAGTTTTTAAGTTCTGATCTAGGATGGGGTGAACTCAATAGTAGCAGGAGCCAGAATTGAATATGCGCGTTCATATGCCACCATCTACAAAATAATGGAATACGAAGTGGTCGCTACAGGAAAAACAAGGTGAGCTTTGACGCCTGTGTTGCCCTAAACGCGGCTGCCATATACCCCTGCCATGCCGCGCCTTGAATGTGAGTTGAGAGCTTTGAATGTTGCTTGGTGTTTGGGCAGGGTGATCATAATATGGAGGATGGCTACTATAGGGTATAGTGATAAAATACCACAACTTGTAGTATGTAGTACAATTATTGTTTGCATCTCCATGTATTGCCACAATGCCCGACACTTTCCCATAATATGAACATGATATACCCCAAGGAGGTTGTTGAATAACTTGGAATTGTTGAAGTCACTAAAACAACAGAAGACTAGGAGGCCTTGAAATAAAGACAAAATGCACCAATGGCCTAACGTACAGACACATGTGCTTGTCCTTCCATGACAAGTTTTCATCGTTTCCTTGATACAGTCAAATTCTCGCCCCTCATATGTTTTTTGCAAAGTTGCAACATTCGAGAACATGTCAATTCGGGAAGAAGAAAGATGACAACAGTGCTGGTTGTAAGAATACCTGCTAGCGAAGAAGCATTGTGTTGTTGTGTACTAGAATGGTAAACCAAACAATCACCAAAAGGGGCTTGTGCTCAGCTTAGTAAAGTGGCAGTTCAAGAACTTGAAGTGCGTTTGTATTGCAAGCTCTGTAGATTACTGCAGATGTAGGAAAGATATACGAAAGGCCACCAAAATTCTTGTGATCCTCCCAGAGAGACACATATGCAAAAACAGTGCACTATAGCAATAACACTTGTTATGGAAATCTTTCCGCACCGAAGCAACAATTCCCAAATGAAGCCAAAATGATGTACCATAACTAGTGGAGGTTGTGATAGCGCACGATAATGATGTGGCTGGTATTCCACAAAGCAACGAAGCATTGCATTAAAGGACATGGAGCATGAGGTTATTTTATGTTGTGCAGCCAATAAACTCCTTCACTCCCTTAGGCAACTTTCAAAGCAATCTAATATTGTCTCAAGGGCAAATAACAAACTCAAAATTGATTGGCGGCAAACTGTGGTGCGTTGAATGCCAGTGAATGCCACTTAAGAGGAAAATAGAGTGGCAAACAAATCTTGCAGACTGAAGTACCAACAATTGCAAGCTATGGCATGTCGCATGAACAACATTGCCTCTAGTCAGGAGCAAAATACTATTGGGGATTGTGGTTGGTGGGTTGGAAAGCCTCATTGGCCCATCTTGCTGAGGTGCTATGGCCCTTTTGAACAAAATCAATTGATGGCATCCACCCAACCTGGTTGTTGTACCAATGGCGGCTGAACTTGCGCATGTTCTAATGCAAGCATCGTTTAGTTATGGCAATGACACAAAGTATCGCACTGCCAAATTGCGCCAGGAAAGAATGCAATCAAGGCAAGACAACAACTCTGTCCAGCGACAATGTAGCAGCCAGGATTCCCTCCATTGAGAAACAAAATATTCTGGGGGTTGTGGCTGGCGGGTTAGAAAGCTAGTATTGGCTAATCTTGCTGATGCAGTGCAGAGAACCCTCTCACCATTGCAAGGGCTCAAACATGAGTATTTTTGCGTCAACAGCATAATACTTGAATTGCTCGTGTTGTTCGCGTTGCGAACTTGCCCAAATATGCTCCAATCTTTGAGAATGTGGAGAGAATGTCGAATTCTATGATGCCTATGCTGCCACCACTGCCATTGCCCTGTGCTGAGAATAACGCGGCACGATTTGGAGCTTTGTATCTGTAGTTCTTGTGCTGTGTGACACCTTCGATTCGTAATGGTAAGGGCAAACAGCTTCCCAACAATAAAATAGAAAGAATATAGGGAACAAGGACGTTGCAGTATGAAGGCCATCGTTGGCGCCATGCACAAGGTGGGTGTGCTATGTTGTTTTCACTGTCATGGATTACATGGATCGGGAAAACTTGAAAGTGGTACGCTTGTGATGGTGCATGAAAGTGGCTTTTTCCGCGCTTGCACATCTCCTACTAAATCAATGTAGCTGAAATACATCCCTGGCTGGGTATTTCTATATATTTGACGACTTATGCAGTGCCAACAAAGCGTTGCCGGTGTTGGTCCACGAATGACGGTATTTGTACCTATCATTTGATTCCCTGTGCATTCAGCACAGCCTGTTTGCCTTTTTATATGCCCCAATGCCCTCATTCCAGCGCCGAGAATTAGCGACCTGGCTTGTTGCACACAAACTGATGGTGCACACAATCAGACCCAGACACAATGCGCCACACCCACTCCCCGCGAAATCAATACATACCTTGGAGGCAGTGCTCGCTCTTCCTATGAAATGGGCACACACTGATTTCATTCAATTATCAATGGATCATTAGGTCATGAATCACATTCATCGCGACCAGTTGCATCATTCTAAGCCAAGCAAAAGACAACATGCTCGACTCATGTTATGACTCCTTGATACCATAATTCCACATAACGGGCTAACATCCAAGTGGAGCACACATACACCATATGGTCTTTAGGCGGACAAACATACCTAGCAGAACATGAAAGCACGAGATGCTGGTATTGCGCCTTCAAATCCACGCGGGTGACAAATGTGATGGTGAAGATAGCCTTGTGTCTTCAAGAATAGAATATGACGGGCTGATACCTGCTGATGGCATTGGGTGATCGGCATCCTTTTGTGAATCCTCGCTCCGCGCTTCTTTAAGCGGTGTCGAAAGACCCAATGTTTGGCGTTATAACTCTTAGTGGTGAAAGCATCCAACTTGAAGAATAGCAAAAGCACACCATTCCTGTCAAACGATGTACGGAATGCCACTGCAGGGCACAACTGTTGGAATTGATTTACTCGCATCGATTAGCACATTTATGAGCGCAAATCACGATGGATTCGCTCAGTAGATTTAGGCGCCTGACTACTTGCTGCGTTTCACGCTCTTTCCGTGAATTTAGCACCCCAGGAGAACTTGCGGACTTTCACCTAAGCACAGAGCCTTCCATTTTCAAGAACCACGAAGAAGTGAGGGGCATGCTCGTATGCCAATGACTGCACATACGTTATGGATCAGGTGCTGGGTCCTGAGGCTGATTGTCAATGACTAATTGAGGTTCTCTCTGTGTCGTGCCAATTTGCGAATCTCCAGCGCGTCGCTTCCTTCACAGCGAATGCTATCCATTTCTGCGAGTCTACCATTAATGTGACACTGTATCATTCTCATGGCGCTGAACAGCAAATCCATCGCAATTATCAGTGAGCGCGGCAAGTTCAACGACAATAAACACAGGAGGTCCGATGACGCCCCAGCTGATTATTTGAGGCAATGCTGTACGGCTACCCAGCCAGACAAGCAGTGGATCATGTATGACAACAAATTGACGCCATCTAGATCTAGAGCATGGACGCCGTGTTGGACAACAGGGCGACATCCTTTCCATATCCCCCTGTAAGGAGTTCATTTCAAACGGTGTGTTCAACAGCCAATGGTTGGAAATGTGGGCAGCGAATGCGTACCAATGTCTCAAGCCAAAGCCCATTCGTGTGATGGATAACAGTGAGCGCATCTCTCCTGCCCAATTTCAGAATCGTGTGGTACCCCTCTTCTTCACAATGCCACAGTTGTGCACATGTGCACGGGTCAATACATGTTGCATACAGCGACAAGTGTTTCTTCTCCTTTTGTCGGATTCATGGTCATTTCAGTGGATCTGAGCGATCAAACGACCAGTTTTCTTGGCAGCAAAGCCTTGAAAATTCCTGTGCCCATCCTCTGTATCACCATATTCTGAAGGAGGCTGCTCTAGGATGTGGTTTGGCAATGAAACGGTGTGTCGATGCCGACTGGCAGGCTTTTTGACAGCATGCACTGAACCCATCATCTCCAGCAAAGGCGGCATTGCTGTTCCACTCGAGATCTGGACCTCTGCTCATTACGCCTATTTCTGCAGGATCTTGCAAGAGACTGACCGCTGTTATCCTTCTGCATTGCCTTCAACAAGACAAAGCGGTGCGCTTGCAGCTTGCAGGCGATGATGAAATGCAGACCGCGGAATTTTGCATGGCAATACACGTACCCCATCCACACAGTCAGCTTTTGCTTCGAGATGAGTTGCGACTTGAGCCGCTCCTGGTGCGCTTTTAGTCTCGAGGATGGCAGGATGAAGGCCCATGGAGGGAGCGACGCCGACACCCACGTGATTAGCGAGCTGCAACGCAGGAACCTCTTCACCGATAAGCACATTGTGTGAATGCAGCTGGCGCCGCGCATCAAGAAATATAGAGTTGGAGCTCCGCTGAGGGCCATATACAGGTCGCCCTGAAGCCCAGCAGGCTCAACAATGGTCTACTCGACGAACTTCAGTGTGTGAATGCAACTTCGGCGGATATGCCCCATGTTCTGCGGGTGAACACCAGACTGGCGCTGCTTGCCACTGTAGCATTTGTCAAGAACACTCATCTGGAAGTGTTTGCAGCTATATGTGCATCATGAGCTTGGGTCCCAAGATGTTCCAAACAAACTGCAGGAGTATGCAAGGGGACTGGCCAAACAAACATTGGTACAAAAGAGCACAGACGTCGAGTAAAAACAGAGAGGCAGCCAACAACACCCTCTCGTCCATGGGAGGATGCCCAATTCAAACACCATTTACAATGTGGAACATCCTGTACAAATGCACCCATCCACCCAGACAACACTTTTGTGCCCTGATTGTTCCCAATGCTTGCCAGCACGGGCCTTAGTGTTCAATTCAGTGTTCAATGCCATTTGTAGGGGCTCTAACATCACAGCGTTTGTGCCCATAGATGTGAATGGCAATCTCAAATTCTTCCACGATAGACCCCTCTCCCCTACCCCACCCGTCTTTATCTGGCTCCAAGAGTTGACACAGCCTCTGATTGCTGCACAACTGCAGTCTGTCAGCATATATGCTGTCAGCATTTGAACAAATCGAGAGGGCGTTTCTGCTAAGTACCCGCATTCATGAGTGTCAATATCAATATAGATTCCAAAATTCTAATGTCTGCAATTTGTCAGCAATTCATTTGCTCACAAATCGCCCATTGCTATATTGCGTTTGCTTTGACACAAAAACGTTCAATTGTTAACTTTGGCAAGTTTCGCAACAGCCAGCCTTGGCAACATGGCGCATGCAGAGGCTGAGCTGACAGGGCAAGCGCCGCACAAAAATCTTCAAAAGTTCACAGATGAAACAGTGAATGATCGTCACAGTGTGCATAACCAGTGCACAGAGTACAGAGCACAGTGAAGCATCATAAATCCCGCTGTTGGCCCTTGCAGGAGAATGGGACTAACTTGCGTTCGAATTCGCCCGTGCAATTGCATAGGCTTGGGCGCCTCCAGGCGTTGGTGCGACGCCACATTGCCTGTGCTTTGGGCCACACAGAGGCTGAGCATTGGAGCCCGAGGGTACAGAGGGACAGCTCGCTTAGCCGGAATATATGGGGTTGTTAAATCATCAGAGCATCCAACACGGTGTCTTCTCCTTGCGCGCAGGACAGGTTTCGAAGCACCCCTTCGCAGCAAAAATGTGGAAAAGGCTCTCAACACCCTGACACTCGCCTCATCCCGCTGGGTCGATTGAAAACGTTTGAAATCGTGCCACTATGCTGAAAGCCGGAATCACCAGTGAAGCTGTGCTTTGAAGGGATTCAACCATCGAATTTCAACACTGCTCTTGGTGCCAATTTCGACATTGTCCGCAGTTGCTTCATGGAAAACAGCAACCTTCGACTTAGATTTTAGAATTAAAATTAAATATAACCTTGCATGGAAATGTTGCAAGTGCTCTTACCATGAATGCTGCCACACCTGGCACTGGTGCCAGATATGGTCTTACAGGCACAGCCAGTTGTCAAACAAGCGTGGATGAAAATTTCGCCTGGTTTGTGTGGTGAGAGATGGCCGACAATGGCATATACGCAGGAGGAAATTCTGGTGACAAGACAAGTAGTGTCTGCGATGAGGCAAGGCGTGCGCGTCGCAAGCCAAGGTGCACGAAACCAAACGAATGAGCCAACGAATCAATTCTGCCAAATTTTCATATGTAGGACGCTCCAATGCGCCACCACCCCATCCTCTAAACACAAAGCCACGTAAAAAAACAGCATTCAGTGCACCGCTCAATCAGCTGTCAATCCATATTATCATCCAATATAAACACACACATACATATCTATCTCAGAATAATGGTACATTGGTAACAATATTCGTGACTTTACAGCTCAACAAAACCAAAAGTGGACATCGTCACCTGTTGCATCGCTTCGTCCTCTTCGAGGGGAGGTGGACGCTGCCCAAAAATCATTTCGCAGCTGTTGTCTTCGAAATCTGACAGCAGAAGTCAGGCAGTCAGTGCCTTACACAGACATCAGGAACGAAATTGGCAAAAAAGTTGTTCAAGTTGGTGCAACACCTCCATTGCAGTGCCATGGATGCAATACTGAGAATCATGCAACAATGCCATTGTGTTGATGCCAACAAGCGATGGTTTGCACGCCAACGTACCCTGAGTGCTGCTGACACCTGTTCATGGACAAAATGCTACAACTGAGTCCTGTATTGCTCTGAACTTTACTCAGCCAAGTTCTCAGCATAACATCACGTTTCCCCCAAGAAAGTGTTCAGTGCATGGGGCCTGCTGCAGGACTGTCCAGGGCTGTGGCATTGACGATGGGCCAACAGCGCCTCATCTACTTCTGCCTGAATACCAGATGGATGCAGCCAAAACGTGTGCCTGCAATGTGTCTTGTGTTGTGTGCCAATCGTGGTGTGTGCTTGGGAGACTCTGCATCGTTCCATCATATGGCATTATGCAGATATGACAGATTCTCACACACACTTGCTTTGGAGGTGTGCCATCTTGTATGACATGTCTATTGACATGCAAACATGTCTTATACCCCCACCCCCGTCCTTATGTCAATTTGAAGCTAAGAGCACCAAAATCGACATAATGTGCTAATGTGGTACACTGTGCAATGTGAGAGGACATGCCAAAGGGCACTGCTGCATTGAATGGTTAAGCCAAGAAGATGAACAACACTGAAATATACAAGTATCAAAAGATTGAGCACCCAAGAAACCAAAACATAGGATGACGGCAGATGAGCACCATCCGACTCACTTGGCTTCATCGTCATCGGCATGCCCAGTTCTTCTGTGAAGAAAGTCTGGCAGGGCGCCTTGCACAAGTTGACACACATGCCTGTGCAGCCGCTCTCCTCCAGATACCTATGCAGGAACGGCACCAGTGCATCATTTGAACCCCAAAACGCAGCTTCATATTTGCATCCGCAAAGGAAAGAAGGGAGCAGTCCATCAGCGGCAAAAGGACTTCAAGAGTCGAGGTTTGAAGGGCAGTGCTTCACCACTTGCGATAAAGACACCCTGTTAACATGACTACCATATGCTCGCCTCTCATTGGCCAATACTGCCAAAGGGATATGTGTGTACATATGTACCAGCACACACATACTTCCTCTGTCCCATATTGATTGCCCTCTATGACTTCGCCACCTTGATTTTTCATTGTAGAGACAAGTAGCACATGGCCCAATGTTGAGTCTGAAGAAGACAATGCAAGCATCTAATTAATCTGTTAAGTATTGCAGATTTGGCAGCACGTGGAGGGCAAAGATGTCCATCCTCGTCAATGCTTCAATGACAGCCCTCTAAGATGAGGACTCAAGCATGGTCGACCATGTTTGGCAAGCGCTATGCCATGTGCTGGATGCCGTCCTTGACCATGATGATGGTGGGGATTTTCCTTGCCGCTACTAGGCATGGGAGTAGCTGAAACTTGTGGGGATATCCAGGGGGCACGGAATGTGTGATGCAAAAGGATGATTTGATAATTAAAGGGATACCTTGATTGTAAAAGAATGTTAGAATCAGCAAATTCGGGTACCAAACCCCCTGACTTTCAATTTTCAAGAAACCAGTCAGCCCTAACCCCTTTTAAGGGCACCTGAAATTCTCTTGCTCAGTCCAAAACTCTGCATGATTCTAACAGCTTTTTACCATGAAAGCCGCTGTGTAACTCTGTTGATCTTTCAAACAGAGGACAATCAATATGGGTCAGAGGATGTATGTGTACATCTGTGCACACAGACACATACATGCACACGTGTATACATGTGCACACGTGTGAGCAGACACATGCATGTACATGCATGTACATGCATGCACAATGATGCCTGGGGCAAAATACTGCCAACCAACATACTTTACTCCGCAATCATCAATGTGCAAGTTGCGCTACCGCGGTACCTGCATTTCTCAATGTGCACACCACTCATCTGCTTCTGGCCATCGATCTCAACCTCCACAGTTTCCATGGGCCCCACAAGCCACTTGAAAAATGCAGGCGTTATCCTGGCGTTCAGCTCTGCTCCCCAGGTGCTGTACGGAAACAACTTTCGAAACCAGGGAGGGATTTCAGGAAAGCCGGCGATCACAGCAGCCCGCTGCTCCTCTGGGGTCCGTCCCTGGTAAGAAGAGGACATGAATCAGAGGTGCCAGTCAAGGATTCATTGTAATGCAGAAGAGTTTCAACAAATCAGCAACTAACTAAATACACTAATAGCCAAAACATCTTAAAATAAATGGATCATCAGCAACTGCCTATTCGCACAGTTTATGCCTAAGGTAATCAACCAGTGGTATACTGCACAAAGTTGTGTTTTGGCAAAAAGCTGCATAACTTAACCAGGTACAAAAGTATCCTCAGCTTATGCAAAATACAATTAGCATGTTCACAAAGTGTGCAAACAGTGTTCCAAAGATGCCTTGCCCACCCTAAAAGCAATTTTAACCATTTTCTTCCAAAATATTGCATCACGTTTAATAGTCGATGTGCCATCCCCAACCTGGCAAAAGAGACCTGTGTATGCTGCCAACTTGGTTCTCATTCGCAATCACACAAGCCATGCCCCTTTAGGAGATCCCTGCCCGGCCTGATGCTGCATACATCCCTTAAGATCGCCTCATCAAAGCACGCTCTCCAAAGCCTGGCAAACTTTGACAGTCCTCACGTCCATCACAAAATGGTTCCCAGACGCAATGAAGTTGGTCAGCCAAACTTCCCCTCCAACACCACCCTCAGCAGATATCCAAAATGTGTGCAAGACTCTTCTCTATGGAAGATGTGTCAAGAGTCTCTCAGATGGAAGGTAAAGAACACTGCGCAAGGCAGCATACAGGGCACTAAAGCATGCACCACTGTATTGTCCTACTGTGCCTGTAGCAATGAAACTTCAAGCCCTGATGCTGATATCACATTGTTCCCTGTGGAAGACCAGCCACTCAATTACGGCACTTCTGATTGGCACGACATGTTCCCATGGGACACGTCCAGGAAGGGTGTGGGGATGGGAGGCCAGTGAGTTCAGTGGGATCAGATGTGCTAGTCAGCAGATTAGCCTGCCATTGACTGACTAAGGGGCTCAGAATGGCCCAAACGTGATCTGCACCTAGGGAGTGTGTAACTCCATCACCCATTGAAAAATTGTCAGGTTGCACACATGTGTGTTGAAATGTGGGATGAAATGAAGCTGGAGACAGTTGAACAAGGTTGTGGCATTCCTGACTTGGATTTTGTCTGCAGGCCAGTCTAGTCCAGCACCAGTCTGGTGCGAGGCCAGAGCCAGCTGGCCATCATTAGTTACTTTGACTGCATTTAATAAACTAAAGATGTCCTGGATTTGCCAAAGTTGCAAATCTAACTTCACACGATTTGGCATGAAACTGAAATTCCAACAACTTGAACAAACAACCAGGTGCCAACAACACTCCCTGAAAGGCGACGGTGGACATAGTTCAAAGCATCAGGTTTGATCAAAGTGTGTTCCTTTCCCTTCACTTCAACACTCCTGAAATCAAGGAGACTCATGGTGGAGACTCCTTGAGTGATGATATCGTCACTATCATTCAAACAGCAACCAATCGTCCCAACAAACTGTGATCATAAATTACGTCACAATTATGGTCACAATGCAGGTGCAGGGCACAATTCTGAGCATCGAAGGCCACAGGCATCCATGCAACTCAATACAACCGTACTAGGACCCATGAGTGTATCCCTTGTTGCCATGCGCACTGCATCGTGTTGTGTGCCTTCCACCTACACCAGACTTCCACACCATCATGCTAATAGGATGGACAAGAGCTTCTAACAGCACATTCCTTAAAGAGGGGGGTGCCCATCATGTGCCATGTCTTTTCATTGCTAGAACTCTTGCAATGGCATACTGAGGGGCCACAGCAGCAATAGGCAGGCTGTATATGCAGGTAATGCCACCGACTGTGCAACAAGGGGCGGTGCCAAAGGTCAACTTCAAAAGAAATAAAAAGAGCAGTGGGGACCAAGGCGCCCAGCGATTTGGCGGGGCCAAGTTGCACCTGGGAAGCGGAGAACGGATGGAGGACAATTCTGGAGCCCAGATAAAGGTTCTGATGTTTGCAGACATCCTCTCATGATTGGGGCAATGTGTAGAAATCAATCTTCAACGTGACAGCGCAATAGGCAATTTGGGGGGAACAGAACTGCAACGTGCCCCCCTTGGCGTTTCTGTGCTGATGTTGATCGTCGGATTGCAGGGAGTTGCAACAATATGAAGGTTCCATAGCTCCGTCCTTGCGCAGGTTTCAGCTGCAAGGAGTGCCCAAAGTTCGCCCCAGTCTGAACCCCTCCGCAGCCGAGCACGTGCTGCTGTTTCTCCAGCACCGCGATAACAAAAGCCCATTGCCGTCGTTGCGCCAAACACACGCGCCTCGCGCCAATCCCCTTCCAATCGCGTCAACAGCACCCATTGCCGAGGAACGCGGGCGCCAAGCACACGCGACTTCGCGCCGATCCCCATGAAATGCCAACAACATCCCAAACTAACAAAAACAATCGAATGCCAACATCACCCTCACCTGCATCAAAGCTCGAGACACCTCCACCATCCCCGCGTACGTCTCTCCAAAGTCCCACCAGCCCCTGTCGCTCTGCCAACCCGCCAGCCGCCCGTACGCCCTCCGGCACAGCGCCACGAACGCCAGATCAGTCAGGCTGCCGCTCTCATCGCCCTCATCGCGCTCCCCGATAGCGCCGCTGGCAAGTTGGCACCGCGCCAAAAATTTGCGCCTCCGATCGCGCGGAGGTGTGCCGAGATCCGTCCGAGGGGTGGGGGTGGCGCAGGGGAAGGCTGCGCGGTTGATGGGCGCGTGACTTCGAGGAGCGGGCGCATGGGGTGGCATGCTTGGCTGACGATCGCGGGGAAGAGCAGCGGCCCTCTGCCACGCGCGGTTTTTGCTGTGCGGCGACCGCACATCAGATACACTCCAATGTACTCCAATGTCCAAAGTCATGTGTCTTATGTCTTGCGTCCAATGCTGTTGGGTGCGTATTTAATTTGGTACAATTGAGACATTACTTTTGTCTCAGGCTGGTGATGTTGATATGATGGAATTTAAGGAGATTGGTGCATTGGCCTTAATGTTTGACGTGGCTGGAATCTCGCCTTTTTGTGCTTGACAACATCCCTAGATCTTGAGGGCATCGGAAAAGGCGAACAAACCTTGTATTTGAATGGCTGGTCATGTTGTGGTGAATGGGGTCCACAGGACAATGGGAGCATGTTTGGAGATGTGGGGGCTCAGGAGTCTGGTCGGGAGTGTAGGTGAGGACTGGGTAGCGGTGCGCAGATACGGGCGAATGGGGTAGGTACGGGATAGGGACTTTAGGAACGCCGGCGGGCGGATGGGTCCAGGTAGACCGGCTTAAAGGCATAGTTGTGGGTACGTGGGGACAGAATGTAGCAAAGGGAAGTGTTAAGGAGTTCAGAGTAAGTTCTCGGGATTTCGTTAGAATGGGCGTTGCCAGTATGATGAGGGAAGGGTAGGCATCAGGACATGTGAAAGAACATGCTGTCAAGCAACCTGGACGCATTGGTGAGCTATATGGATTTAGAGCATACCTATAAATGGCCAGACGGGTTTGTAAACAACACTGGGATTACTGACCGCAAAGGTCTCTGGGCACGAGG